AAGTACCTACATCAACACCATCTACGACTCTTCCTAGCAACAAGTCAACCGTCACCGCAACACCTCGTTCTCATACCACACGTTCATCACTTGTTCCAACGTCAAGCCAGCTCATAGCACGAGGATCACTTCAGCGAGTCACCACCAACACCAGCTCCAACAGTCCACTTCTTCACCCAAGACCTTTCTCAACTTCACCCCCACGTCCCGGATTCGGTCGTCATCAGTTACCACCATCTTCAACACCGAGCAACAACACCAACCAGCCCCAACCATCACCACCTCTCGACAAGGCAGCGTCATCATCAATTCCCAAGCTTCTAGTCTCAAGATCCCCACCAAGAGCATCTTCACAACCAACTATGCCGACAAACGTTTCAGCTTCACCGCCACGAGTCACCATGCCTAATCCTCAAGTCAACACCGATAATCAAGATATTTCCACGCCAGGAGAAGAACAAGCAGCCGTGCCGCCGTCGCAGCCGATGTCGCAGCCGTTGTCTCAGCCGCAAATGACTGCATCAACGCAATCAAACACTGTGAGACCGAACCCTACCACTAATGTGTCTCAGCCAACTGAGGAGTTTGGTAAAGGTAAACGAGTCCGCAAGGTAAAAAAGCCCTTCAATTTCATGGTTGACATGTCATCAAGGTGCACATGTGAGGAGAGTGAGAATTGCATTCACAAGAAGGTAGAGGCAATATGCATGGCAGCATCACACCTTCCGCGAGAGCCCTTGAGTCGTCGTGAGGCAATGGCAAGTCCCGAAAGAGAGCATTGGTTGAAAGCCGAGGAAGAGGAGATTGAGAGTCTCATGAAGCGAGGTACATGGCGTCTTGTTGAGCCACCTCCAGGGAAGAAGGTAATTGGTGTCAAATGGGTGTACAAGATCAAGGTAAAAGGTGATGGTAGCCTCGATAGGTACAAGGCAAGGTTAGTGGCAAAAGGTTATTCCCAAATTCCAGGTCTTGACTTCACCGAAACCTTTGCCGTGGTAGCAAAGTACACCACGGTACGAGTCCTCCTCGCCATATCCGCATATCTTGGTCTCCATATCCATCAAATGGATGTCAAGAACGCATTTCTCTACGGTGTCTTGGAAGAAGAGGTATACATGGCACAACCCGAAGGTTATGATGACGGTACGGGTCGAGTGTGTCGCTTGGTAAAGTCCCTTTATGGTCTCAAACAGTCCCCACGGGTTTGGTATCATGCTCTTGAGCAGGTACTTTTCAAGCATGGTTTCACAAGGTCCATGAGAGACAACGCTCTGTACTTCATGCACACGAGTGAGGGGGAGTACATTTGGCTCTTGGTATATGTGGATGACCTCCTCCTAGTCTCAGGTTCTCTTGATCTTCTCAACAAGGTGAAAGGTATTCTCACGAGTGCATTCACGATGACCGATCTTGGTGAGCCGAGTCATTATCTTGGTATGAACATTGTGAGAGATCGTAAGTCACGGTCCATCTTCCTATTCCAGCAAAGGTACATCCAAAAGGTCCTTGAGAGGTTTGGTCTTGATGATAGCAAGCCATCACCTACCCCACTTCCTTCCAAATTTGTCCCTTTGTCTTCACATCAGCCCTATGAAGAGAGAGAGTCAAGCCTTGATATCATAGGTATTAAAGAGTTGTGTCTTGAGGAGAGTGAGCATCATGGTGAGAATTCACTTAAGGTATCCCCACAAGACCTAGCTCTGTACCAAAGTCAGGTTGGGTGTCTCATGTATGCAGCCCTATGCACAAGGCCCGACTTAGCATTCACGGTATCTAAGCTAGCTCAACACATGAGTGCCCCTTCACCTATTCATATGCATGCAGCCAAGCGAGCTCTTCGGTATCTCAAAGGTACTTCTAATCATGGTCTTCTCTTCCAAGCCAGCCCATATGCAAGCTCCCTCCAAGGCTTTACCGATGCAGATTGGGCGGGAGAATTGAGCACACGCAAGTCTACCGGCGGCTACATCTTCCTCATGTGTGGTGCCGCTGTTTCTTGGCAATCGCGCAAGCAAAGTTGTGTGGCACTTTCAACAACCGAAGCTGAGTACATGGCAATGACCGAAGGAGCAAGGGAGGCAATCTGGTTACGTGGACTCTTGGAGGAATTGAGGCAGCCGCAAACTCAACCAACTCCGCTCTACGTGGACAACACTTCAGCCGTAGCTCTTTCCGGTTCATCATGGGCGTACAAAACACATCGAGGTGCAGTACCACTTCATTCGTGAGCAACTAGAGAAGGGAGTTCTCGCCGTCAACTTTTGCCGTTCATTCGATCAAGCAGCAGATTTCATGACCAAGGTTCTTCCACATGATGCATTCAACATGTGCAAGGCAAGAGCAGGCCTCATGACACTTCATGAAGCAGTGGAGCAGTTTGAGGAGAATGAGGAGTGCGAGGGGAAGAGACGTGGGCAGCAGCATGAAGTGTATGCTAAGGAGATGTGAAAGGAGCATCAGCATGGGTGTATGTGTGCTTCGGGTCTGGTGCGAGGGGGAGTGTTGGAGAATCGAGTTTCTGCCGCCCCAGCCCTTTGCACACAAGCAGCAGCAAGGGGGAATGTCGGCGATGAATCAGAGCTTCGGGAAGTACTTCGAAAGTTCCACCACCAATCAGATTTCAGCCGAAGACTCGATATAGTTCAAAGCTGCCTTCAAACCGAAGTGTTGGCAGTTTCTACAGGTTTCTACACATCAGAATCAGCTATAACAGAAATATCCAGAGTTTTCTTATTCATGCACCTCATGTGGCACTCAAAGTCACTCAAGGTCCATCCAATCTAGATTGTGCCCAAGTTACCAGGGAAGTTACATTGTCTATCAGCCTAGTTTGAGCTTTCAATCTGTCTTGTTTGTGATGCCTAGAGTTGTGCTTTAGTGGGCTTGTTAATCTTGAACATAGTGAAGTTTTACCTCATCCAGTCAATTCCAGCAGCCCTGCTAAGACTTTCCAGCCAAGTTTCCAGCCCTCCAGTAGTCACAGCTACTCTGTTTTACAAGTGGAGGGTGGTGCAATATTGATATTTCCGATTTGCAAGACTTTATTCATCATGTTTCGTGACGTTTTAAGTGTCACAACGTAGCAGCAGCATTGGAAATGGATGGAAGACGCTTAGGCGAGAGAGCAGCATCAAATAGACACGAGATGATGATACAGCAGCACAATTGCAGTTCGGAAATCAAACTCGGCTTAAACCACAGTGTGTCAACGAAGAAGCGCTAAGTGACAGGAGAAGCTTTGGGATCGCAAACACGATTTACACCTCCTGGAGTAGATCCATTTACAGTATCACGCCCTTATTATCTTGCCACACCATTCCCCTGGCACCTAGGGTGCACTAGGAGGTATGCTGCAGTGCTCAACCAAATGTAACATGCTCGGAGAAAATGTTTCTTTGTTGGACGGCTCGTGCGCCAAGTCAGCACCTCAGGTTTGGGTAAAGGTAAAGGAGGGGGGGAAATCTCTCTGGGGGTTGCCCACACCTGGCTGTCGGTCGTAACTCGCCTCCCCAATCGTTTAGACTCGCTGGGTCAACGAGGTTGAGGTACATCCACTCCCAGAGTGAGCACGTGCGAACCCCCTTCTGAGAGGCTGACAGAATACGTCGGCACGGGGGATTGATCCCGGGACCTCACTCATCGGGAGTGACGAAAGCCAACTCACTGGGCCGCTTCAGGACAGCACCTCGTGTTTGGGGGGTCCATTTAAGTTTATGCATGTAAATAGATTATCTTACACTCAATATGCCGTAAAGTGCAATTGAGTATGAAACACATGCACTGACCAAGATGCTATGAGCCTAAACGTATCAGCCTAAAGTGGAAACTCCAATCCTGGCTGTATAACATGTTGTTTAGTACCATGGTCCATGTCTCATTGGGCCCGTATGCTCATACAAGCTACCTAGTCCAGCCCTTTTTGGAACACATTCACTCAAGAAATTTGCCAGCAATGTTGCAGCCTTAAGGCATCCCCATATACTGTATCCGACATCACATGGACTCGGTGTGGCCATATACCCGTTCCTAGCTGGATTGTGATGCGAATACACGACTAATGTTGAAAAACAAATGCTATAATATAAAGAACTAATTGCACTCAAGGCGAATCAAACCCAAAGACACGGAAGACACCTGCGACAAGGACACAAACAGGAAGTATGTACAGTACAGTATTATTGAAGATAAGGGAGCCACAATCCTTCCACTTCACACAACGAATGCCACTACACACCGCACTCCACACTCTATGTCATGCCACCACAGGCACTCCACTCCAAATGAGTGCGAAGCAGACTCAAAAAGAGAACAAATGCTGCTCGAAAAGCATATGTGAGCAATAGGCAATGCAACCGCTCCCTACGGTTCCACCTCAAAATGCGTCACAGGGGGCGATCGATCATCTAAAGGGTTGTCTTTGTGGGGTTAGAAAAGGCTCTGAAAGCTGCGATTGCAATTAGCGTGATTACACTGCGGTGGCGGATCGATATTGGACGATCGATCGCCCCCTGTGACGCGTCCTCAAGGCACCTCACCGGGAGGGGCAAATAAGCACTTTGCTTTTTCATGGCTACAGCCAATAAGCAGGCTCACTCGCCCCAGTAAGGGTGTTTGCCATCGTCGTCAGAGGCATACGCCATAGTCAGAGGCATACGCCATAGTCAGAGGCATACGCCATAGTCAGAGGCATACGCCAGCTGCGGGTGCTTGGGGTTCCACTCGAGTCATTTCAGTCAGAGCCAGGCCCAAAAAAGGCACAAAAAGGCAATGCTCTCATAGCAACCAGGTGACTTTTGAGTCGACTCAAAGAGGTGACTTTTGAGTCGACTCAAAGACAACCAAGAGGCTCACTTACCCGGGGATGAGTGCTTGCCATTGTCGTCATATGCATATGCGAGGAGCAGGTGCTTGGGGTTCCACTCAGGTCATTCCAGTCCAAGCAGCACCCATGAGGCATAAAAGGGAAGTGCTCTTGGAGCAACAAAGTACTAGCAGCAGGCTCACTCACCCGGGGACGAGTGCTTGCCATCGTCGTCAGAGGCATATGCGAGGAGCAGGTGCTTGGGATTCCACTCCACACTGTTCATCGCCGCCCAGGATGGGATCTGATGCACCGACCGCCCCGTCTCCACCTCCGCCTGTTGTTGGAAGGGGATCCGGAGGAGAGGGTTGGGCGGCAGAGCATAGGACGTGGGGAATGCGGGGGAAAGAGAGGGATGGAGGGGATGTGTGAGGTTTGGGGGCTCACATCGCTGAGATGAATCTTGTGCTAAGATCTGGGGTGGCTTGCATGAAATAGGGAAGAAGGATGGGGGAATTTTGCGCTGAGTTTAGAAAAGTTTGGGAGGCGGGAGAGGGTGGTGAAGGAGGGAAGACAGGAGACAGGGATGGAGGGAGGCAATGGCGTGGTAGCTGCATGCACGGTGTGTTCTATGCATGGTGTGTTCTATGCATGGTGTGTTCTATGCACGGTGTGTTCTATGCACGGTGTGTTCTATGCATGGTGTGTTCTATGCATGGTGTGTTCTATGCATGGTGTGTTCTATGCATGGTGTGTTCTATGCACGGTGTGTTCTATGCACGGTGTGTTCTATGCATGGTGTGTTCTATGCACGGTGTGTTCTATGCATGGTGTGTTCTATGCATGGTGTGTTCTATGCACGGTGTGTTCTATGCACGGTGTGCATGCATGATACACAGGCACAATGAGTGAGCTCGCAAGATACAGCACTATACATGCATGCTGCATGGCTCACAGTGCTGCACGGCTCACAACACGGCACGCCTTACAATGTCAACAAAGAGGTCTTCACTAGCAGACGCGAGATACCGCCCATCGTGGCTGAAGCTGACAGTGCGTACGGGCCATCTGAGGACGAGTGGTTGAGAAGGGAAGGGAAGGGAGATGCATTGACCGAAGGGGGAAATAAAGGGATTGGAGGTTGGATGGGATGGGACGCATAAGCCACTCGAGTTGACAGCAAAGCCTCCAACTACGCCTTATAACAAAGCCTTATAACAAACTACGAGAATGGAGGGTAGGATGGGACCATTTTTGAGACGCCTTAAAAACGGAAAGGGGGAACGGACAAAGTTGACTTTTGAGTCGACTCAAAGGGATGAAGGAGGGACGACTTTTCAAAAAGGGACGAATTAATGAGCCACTGGAGTTGACAACAAGGAGAGGCGGAGCGGCATTGGAGCATTGTGGGCACCAGCCAGCCATGCTAGGGGGCACAGGGGGCAGGCAGATATGAACGAAGCATGCAGCCTGACAGGTGCTGCTCACTCAATGGTGTGAGGGTGCAGATACACGATGTGTGCTGTATGTTGCACACAACAGGGCACTTGGTACGTACTCGTGCATGCACTTATCAACTCACTCGAGGCGTGTGAAGGTGCGCTCACACAGCATGTGCCGCATGTCCCACAGGGTGAGACACTTGATGGTCACTCGGGACATGCATACTCTTCAACTCACTCTAATCGTGTGAAGGTGCGCTCACACAGCATGTGCTGCATGTCCCACAGGCTCACCAGTGCGTCTGCACTGCCCGCTGCAAAGTACCTGTGGGTGATGGTGATGGTGGGGGGAGATGGCGTGGCGTGGAGAAGGAGACAGGGGAGGAGATATGAGGACTTGTGGTGGTGGCGATGGTCCCATCGGCTCGGCTCACCAGCGGTCTGCACTGCCTGCTGCAAAGTACCTGCAAGCTGATGGTGATGGTGAAAGGAGAAAACGGGAAAGAAAGAGAACGGAAAAGAAAGAGAACGGGAAAGAAAGAGAAGGGGAAAGAAAGAGAACGGGAAAGAAAGGAGACGGCGAAAGTGAAGTGTGTGGGGAAGGGGAGGTGAAGAAGCGGAAGGGAATAAGGAAGAAGAGAACTTCAATGGAGCAAGTGGAAAAAATACCGAAAAGCATTTTTAGATAAGCAGACGGGAAACTATATCGCAGAAGAGAGGATAACATGTGCAATGCAACTACATGCTTACATCCTCCTCACGCCCTCCCATACACACCCTCACTCTACCACTTCATTTTCTGATCGACTGACAAATCGCACTCCCACTCGCACTTCCACACACATTCCCCTCACACACTCCCTCCCACCAGCCACTCTACCACCTCCCTTATGCAATGCCTCAAACACACGCACCTGCCAAGGGGGTCAATGGCCAGCGAATACACCCCTGCTGTGTGTGCGTGCAGGGTGTCTAGTGTCTGCAGGGAGGGGTAACCCAAAACTTCCACTGCACCTGCAAATTGAGGTGTGGAGAGAAGTTGAGGTGTGGTGGAGAATGGGGTGTGGTTGAGTTGAGGTGTGATGGGAAGTCGATGTGCAAAAGGAAGGTGAGTGAGTCAATGTTAGTTTTGAGGCGCCTCAAAACTAAAGGAAGGTGAGTGAGTCAACGCCAGGGGCCGGGTTGATGCCACCGAACGGACAGTTGCTCAGTCCCACGGCTCATCAGCGCACCACAGCCACACCGTTTTGCACCGCACTCCACACCTGTGCACCGGAGCTCACCTGTGCCGGTTGTGACAAGGAAGATGGACCCTGTTCGGTCCCACGCGAACTCGTTCAGCTGCCCAGGGTACAGGTGGGTGGGAGAGAGACAGTGAGAGGCAGGGAAACAGCATGCAGACAGGTGAGAAGCTTGACTGAACTGGACGGTGGGCGGAAGCGGAGAGGTAAGAAGAGGATACAGGAGACAGGGGGAATAGACGGAGGTATTGGTGTGAATGTAAGAACCGTAAAACGAACTCAACTGCAACAAGCGGGGATCAGGCAGAGACGCGGGTCAGGCAGGGACTTGGGTCAGGCAGGGACGCGGGTCAGGCAGAGACGCGGGTGAGGCAGAGACGCAGGTGAGGCAGAGACGGGGCAATGGTTGAGAATGGCGGACCTCGTAGGTGAACTGAGGCTGGGCTTGTGGATGGGCTTCAGCTCCCTCACGTCCAGAATGCATGTGGCTCGAGGCTTGCGCAAGTTCACATACACACTGACCATGCTGTGGTGCTGCATGCTGTGGTGCTGCATGCTGTGGTGCTGCATGCTGTGGTGCTGCATGCTGTGGTGCTGCATGCTGTGGTGCTGCATGCTGTGGTGCTGCATGCTGTGGTGCTGCATGCTGTGGTGCTGCATGCTGTGGTGCTGCATGCTGTGGTGCTGCATGCTGTGGTGCTGCATGCTGGACGCCGCATGCCACATCACTGACAGTGCCTTGCACTGACTGACCTCGTAGGTGAACTTGCGCTTGTGGATGGGCTTGAGCTTCCTCACATCCAGAATGGTCAACTCGTCCGCCTGCATGCACACAGCACACAGCACGTATCATGGATCATGAATCACACACCATGCATCAGAGAAGGATATCAACGAAGTAGGTGAGGTGAGTGGTCTATCCATGAAACGCCAGGCTTTGACACGACTGACTGACATCGAAGCAACTAGAATGTCAGTAGCTTGGCTGTAGTGTCAAGCCATTAGTGACCTCACGCACAGCGCAGCCCATTCACATCACAATACAGCTCACTGGCGTAGTACGGAAGATTAGCCACGTGTTTGAAGAAGTGTGTTGAGACGTCTCAAAACACTTGTTCAAACACAGCGCAGCCCATTCACTCACGTCACAATACAGCTCACTGGCGTAGTACGGAAGGTTGACGTTACAATACCACCCACAGCACAGCACGTTAGAACACACGTTACAGTTCAGCACTTTCACGTTACAGTTCAGCACTTTCACATTACAGTACAGCAGACTCACGCTGTTGCCCACAGCGATGTGCGTGCCATCGGGCTTGTACGTGACGTTGATGTTCTCGCCCTTTAGAGTCACACTCTGCTGACACCTAGCAGCTGACGTGGCAACGAGAGGAACACATAACAGACAGAAGACAGCAGCACTTGTGCAAAATGAACAAATAAGAACACGCATGAAATGTTTGCGTGTGTGCATGTGTGCATTGCATGAACATGCACGTGCACGAATAAGGATAACCGAAGATCTGCACAACATCTTAAGATGTTTTGAAGATTTGCAAAACATCATCAGATTGCTGCGTGTAACCTTCACTCCCATCTCGCTTGTCACCGATGCGAACAGACTTGTCTTGAGACAGTCTGGACACGAGTAGATCCAGATGGAGGGGACTTTTGAGAATCCTTCAAAGTGATCTTCATATAACACGTCTGGAAAGAAGCAGGTCCAGATGGTCTTGAGGAACTTTTGAAGCGCCTCAAACTCCGCCCATACCATGCGCCCTTCACTCCCATCACACTGCACCCGCACGCATCCCAAAGCGTACCCCCTGCACTCACATCCCATCCCACACCCCCTGCACTCACATCGTGTGTCCCAGATGCGCACGGACTTGTCTTGAGACGCGGACGCAAGGAGGTCCGTCCGGGTGGGTGGGGGAGGAGACTCTGAGGCGCCTCAACATGCGTCCCATACCATGCACCCTGCACGCTTATCCCATCCCACACCCCCTGCACTCACATCGTGTGTCCCAGATGCGCACGGACTTGTCTTGAGAAGCAGACGCAAGGAGGTCAGGGTGGAGGGGGTCCCAGCACAGGTTGTCCACACTCTCGCTGTGGCCCCTCAACTCCACCTCCCGATGCTTGCTCTGCACAGTACAGTGGGTGGATGAGAGGTCGAATGGAGGAGCGGAGTCAGTCAGATGGGCACAGAAGTGACCCGTCAGGGTGGTGAAAGGGGCCCTGGTCCCAGCACAGGCCGGGATGGAACGGGTCCCAGCACAGGCCGGGATGGAGCAGGTCCCAGCACAGGTTGTCAACACTCTCGCTGTGACCCCTCAAACTCCACCTCCCGCTGCTTGCTCTGCAGCATGGCACATAGTATGACATGAAATTCCATGACATGACATCACATGAATGACATGACATGATATATCAGAGTGGTGAAAGGGGCCTCTTTCCCAGCACAAGTTGTCAGCACTCTCGCTGTGACCCCTCAACTCCACCTCCCGCTGCTTGCTCTGCAGCACCACGGGCAGCACGTGAACGGCATGACACGACAACGATGGGAGGAATGAGGCGGATGGAGGCTCAGAGTCGGTCGGATCGGAAACGTTACACTGGGATGGGGTGCTGGACTGGGATGGGGTGTTGGACTGGGATGGGGTGTTGGACTGGGATGGGGTGTTGAACTGGGATGGGGTGTTGAACTGGGATGGGGTGTTCAACTGGGATGGGGTGTTGGACTGGGATGGGGTGTTGGACTGAGATGGGGTGTTGAACTGGGATGGGGTGTTGGACTGACTGGCATGAACCTTAACAAATTGAATGGGGCGTTGCCGGGCTGACTCACGGAGTTTGATACGCCGCTCGGATCCACTTGCCACACGCGAATGGTTTGGTCCACCGAACCTGACCCGAGCTTCTCGCCGAGGCAGTTCCACACCACCGAATGCACCTGGGTCAGAGAAAGAGAAAATAATTCAACGTTCTTTGGAACGGAATCCGTGTTACCTTGACCTAGCATCCTTTGCCTTCCCCTACCTTCAGTTCTGTATGACCTCATTCTGTCTGTCATCTCCATACCTCCACAAGACCTCATGCCCCCAACACACTCCTCTCTCCCCCGTGCCTCCCACGCGCCTCCCACGCGCCTCCAACGCTCCCGCATGCCTCCCACCTGCTTTCTACTCCCTCATTGGTCCACGTGTCTCGTACCTTCTTCTTGTGTCCAACAAACTCTCGACTGTACAGGTTCCTAAAAGGGTCCTTTCCCGCTCTAAGTTGCGACGGCAGTGGCGCGGGTGCCGGCGGCTGCTGCGACTGCCCTTGCGCCTGGCCCTGCCCCTGCGCCTGTCCCTGCGACTGCTGTTGCTGCAGCTGCTGCTGCTGCTGCAGTTGCGCTTGCGCCTGCTGCTGTTGCGCCTGCTGCTGCGGGTGCGGAAGCGGAGGCTGCGCGGGGCCGGGGTATTGCGCGAATCCGGTTGCGCCGGGGTGCGGCGGAGTGGGGTAGCGGTGGGGGATGTGGCCGTGTGTGAAGGGTGAGGGGTGGTGCTGCTGGTAGTGCATCGGCCCTCCCATTCCGTACATCGCGGCGCGCTGAGTAGTAACCGCGGAGCTCTCGAGGATTCGAAAAAACAGCTGACTGACTAAGTAAAGCGGACGGTTACTACGATCGTCGCACGTACGGACGAATGAGCAGCAGCAGCAGCAGCAACTGCGGGGAGTTGATTAAGTCCGTGAGGCAGAACAGGGCGATTGCCGGATTTTGAAGCGACTCAAAGTTCAGCTACGTGAACGCGAGCCGCGGTTATGCGATTGTCGGAAGAAACTGGACGCATCAAGCCCGAGAGACTGCAGTGCAGGAGTACAGCTACTGCGCCTTGATCTTCCTGAAACGTGAATGGTCATGATTTACGGAATAAAAATCCACGCTAAGAGTTTGGTGACGGAACGACTCGTCGCACTATGAGCTACACTTCATGAACGAATTACGTTAATGACCTTACATACAGCATTTCCAGAATATACGTCTTCCTAGATAACCTCTTCCGGATTAATGTTCAAATTACTGAATTAATTTCCACAACTGTTTAAGCGGCTGCCTCTTGTGCTGCGCGCGCCGCCTTCCCAGCAGCAGCTTGCACGCTGGTGATGGCGATGGTGTTGACGATGTCCTTGGTGGTGCACCCACGGCTCAAATCATTCACCGGCCGACTCAACCCCTGCAGCACTGGTCCCATCGCGATGGCTCCTGTGGCCTGTGGGAGGGAGAGAGGGGCGGATGATAAAGGACTCATCAGAGGAGATTTCCAACAGAAAGTTGAAGCCAGACAACGCAGCAGCTGATACGAAACGTTGGCTACAGAAAAGGAAGGAACGAGAGCGGCCAGAGGGAGAAGTTGCAAGTGAGGGGCCGAGGAAGATGAGGGAGGGGGGAGGAGGGGAGGGGTGAGAAGGGAAGAAGTTGCAAGTGAGAAATACCTGTTGCACGGCCTTGTAGGTGTTGTTGCCTGTGTTGAGGTCTGGGAATATGAGGACCGAAGCCTGTACAAGGAGGAGGGAGGAAGATAACAGCAAATTCATGGAGTGGAATGTTGAAATGGTCGGACATCCCGTAATGTCAAGGCTTCTTATATGAGCTGCTGAGCTGGTGATCAATCAGAGGGATTTCTCAGAGCATGTAGCTCAGAGAGTGGGGGAAGCTACACGCTAGTGAACCAGCACACGGAAGATAACTGGCAGTCAAATATTGTAGAATAGGGCAATAGGGCAACCATTGGCAGCAGGACAAACCTTGCCGGCCACGTCGGACTCTCTGCCGTCCATCTTGTTGTGGGCGGCCATGGGGTTGACAGCAGCGTCGTACTGCAGGGGTCCCTCCACCAGCAGGTCCGGCCGCTGCTGCTTCACCAGCTGCGTTGCCCGCACCACCTTCTGCACTATGGTGTCTGCATGGGGGGAGAGAGGGGTAAGGGGAGAATATCAACATCACGGACAAGGGGCAGCGAGAGGGTGTTATATTCAGCACCCCCTCCACCAGCAGGTCTGGCCACTGCTGCTTCACCAGCTGCGTTGCTCGCACCGCTCCACCTTCTGCACTATGGTATCTGGCTGGATGTTGGCAGGAAGAGGGAAGGAGGGTCCTAGGGGGTGTCAATTCCACATGCCAAAGAGGGAAGACAGCAGCAGGGTTGTCCCGTCCTCACCTTCCGCATGCTCGCGCAGAGTGGAACATGTCAGCATGGCGACACGCTGATTCACGCCAAAGGCACATTCTCAAACGACGTAGCAACACCCAGAAACACTTCATTTCCTATCCCACCTTCCCTGCGCTCATCCAGAATGGAGTAAGACAGCATCGCAGCACGTGGTTCCATGCGCAAGGCAGTTTCTCACACGCATTCACAGCGCCCAGACAGAGCCACCTTGCTTCCATCACAATCCCACCTTCTTTGCGCTCGTCCAGAGTGGAGTACGACAGCATCGCAACACGCGGCTCCACGCCTAAGGCAGGCAGTGAGGCGCCCTAAAAGGCATTAAGAACTGCTTTTCTTCCACTCTCTCCAAATTCAACCCTCACCTTCCTTCCGTTCGTCCAGAGTGGAGTACGACAGCATCGCCACGCGCGGCTCCACGCCGAAGGCAGCAGCGGTATCGGCGGATGAGATGGCGATCATCGCGAGCTCCTCAGCCGTCGGATTGGAGTTGATGGCGCAGTCACCGTAGATGTACACGTGGTCGGGCAGGCACATGAAGAAGACGCTCGAGATGATCTCCGTGTTGGGCAGTTTCTGGAAAAGGGAGGAGGGAGGAGGAGGGAGGGCACGAGGGTACAGAAGAGTAATAGGAGGCAAGGTACCACACGCACACGCAGATGTGGTCGGGAAGGCACAAGAAGAAAACGCTCGAGATAATTTCAGTGTTGGGCAGTTTCTGGAGAGCATGCCACGTCACACAAGGCAGGAACAGGGGTTGGTCTGGTTGGATTGGAGCACATGCCGTGCAGGGCTTACCATGGCAGGATAGCGCAGGACTGTGAGGACATGGCACGCCATGGCACGCCATGGCACGACATGGCACGACATGGGAGGAGAATAAGAAGCGAGGAGAAAGGAGGAGAGGCGAGGGGGAAAGGAAGTATGCATGCACTGCAGCCTGACACTGTGCCATGGTGCTGTGAACGTTTCCAGGGAGTTTTCAAAAGACACATGCTGTCTGTCCTTTCGCCCTTGACTCTACGCAGTGCTGGACACCATGCCATCCACATCGCCTGCTGGTGGCGATGGTGGTGTGCACGGCGCCAGACACCATGCCATCCACATCGCCTGCTGGTGGCGATGGTGGTGTGCACGGCGCCAGACACCATGCCATCCACATCGCCTGCTGGTGGCGATGGTGGTGTGCACGGCGCCAGACACCATGCCATCCACATCGCCTGCTGGTGGCGATGGTGGTGTGCACGGCGCCAGACACCATGCCATCCACATCGCCTGCTGGTGGCGATGGTGGTGTGCACGGCGCCAGACACCATGCCATCCACATCGCCTGCTGGTGGCGATGGTGGTGTGCACGGCGCCAGACACCATGCCATCCACATCGCCTGCTGGTGGCGATGGTGGTGTGCACGGCGCCAGACACCATGCCATCCACATCGCCTGCTGGTGGCGATGGTGGTGTGCACGGCGCCAGACACCATGCCATCCACATCGCCTGCTGGTGGCGATGGTGGTGTGCACGGCGCCAGACACCATGCCATCCACATCGCCTGCTGGTGGCGATGGTGGTGTGCACGGCGCCAGACACCATGCCATCCACATCGCCTGCTGGTGGCGATGGTGGTGTGCACGGCGCCAGACACCATGCCATCCACATCGCCTGCTGGTGGCGATGGTGGTGTGCACGGCGCCAGACACCATGCCATCCACATCGCCTGCTGGTGGCGATGGTGGTGTGCACGGCGCCAGACACCATGCCATCCACATCGCCTGCTGGTGGCGATGGTGGTGTGCACGGCGCCAGACACCATGCCATCCACATCGCCTGCTGGTGGCGATGGTGGTGTGCACGGCGCCAGACACCATGCCATCCACATCGCCTGCTGGTGGCGATGGTGGTGTGCACGGCGCCAGACACCATGCCATCCACATCGCCTGCTGGTGGCGATGGTGGTGTGCACGGCGCCAGACACCATGCCATCCACATCGCCTGCTGGTGGCGATGGTGGTGTGCACGGCGCCAGACACCATGCCATCCACATCGCCTGCTGGTGGCGATGGTGGTGTGCACGGCGCCAGACACCATGCCATCCACATCGCCTGCTGGTGGCGATGGTGGTGTGCACGGCGCCAGACACCATGCCATCCACATCGCCTGCTGGTGGCGATGGTGGTGTGCACGGCGCCAGACACCATGCCATCCACATCGCCTGCTGGTGGCGATGGTGGTGTGCACGGCGCCAGACACCATGCCATCCACATCGCCTGCTGGTGGCGATGGTGGTGTGCACGGCGCCAGACACCATGCCATCCACATCGCCTGCTGGTGGCGATGGTGGTGTGCACGGCGCCAGACACCATGCCATCCACATCGCCTGCTGGTGGCGATGGTGGTGTGCACGGCGCCAGACACCATGCCATCCACATCGCCTGCTGGTGGCGATGGTGGTGTGCACGGCGCCAGACACCATGCCATCCACATCGCCTGCTGGTGGCGATGGTGGTGTGCACGGCGCCAGACACCATGCCATCCACATCGCCTGCTGGTGGCGATGGTGGTGTGCACGGCGCCAGACACCATGCCATCCACATC